GTCTGTCTGTCTGTCTGTCTGTCTGTCTGTCTATCTGTCTATCTGTCTGTCTATCTGTCTGTCTGTCTGTCTATCTATCTGTCTGTCTATCTATCTATCTGTCTGTCTGTCTGTCTGTCTATGTACACATTGTCAGTTTGTTTTGTGTCTGTTGGGTTTTTTATGTATTTTAAAGGCCCAACAGGGACGGACGCTGCCAGTGAGCTAGGCTAGAACTGCTGTGTGGCATTTCTTTATGCTACACAAATAAACAAACAGTAAAATAAATAAACAGTAAAATAAATAAATCAGGGGGCGTATTTGCTGCTCAGAGATGTCAGAGTTTTGTGCAGAAGGTGGACATACAGCTGTCTGTCTGTTAGAGTGTGTCACAAACAGCACATAAAGACACCAATGAACAATAAATACAATGCTGAAGGGGTTAATGAAAACAATAAAAACAGTCAAATGTAAAACATAAGGGAGATAAATAATTTAAAACCTGCTGATTAAAACCTAAAAACTAAAGCTATGACATTATTCTAACATCCAGATGAAAACAGAAAGCACTCTCACCGGCGCTGTTCTGGGACACATAGAGAACAACAAGGTCACATAAAGCTTCATAAACAAGTAAAAGAACTTTAAAATCAGTTGTAAAAGACTGGATTAGCTGTAGTTTCCTTATTGATTTTTTAGGTAAAAGGTAGTAAAACTGATCTAAACCATAAATTACCAGAGACACACAATGTGCACAATTCTTCCTCCTGCTAAATGCACTTATTAAATTGTTACGACCTCAGTAAGGGGAAGAGAGGTGCAACAATAAATAATTAACCGGGTGTTTAAAGAAAGAAAGGAAACAGAAAATTTTTTACTATTAAATTATTTATTTAAACGTTAATGAGTTCAATATTAACACAAAACAACTTCCTAAAAAGAAAGAAAGTGAAAACCACTTAAACTCAACAAACCACTGATCCAACAAATAAGTGAATAACGCTGTCCCTCCACTGAGGGAGTAATGGTAACAACATGAGTACCACGCAGCTCTACTTCACACCCGACAGCACTGCGACACTATCTGGTGGCTTGGCCCACCGGCCTTGTTTGCTTCTGTCGAGGCAGCTTTAAAGCAGTCAGCCTGATTGTTAAACTACTGCAGGTGTGCCTGACCAGTCAGAGGGAAGGGGGGCACCTGGAACAGGACACAGGACAGAGCAGAGGCAAAACACACACACGTAACACACATATTGTGTCGGATAAAATGAGCACAAATTAAAGTATTTAAAATGTGTATTGTTTGTGAAAGTATGATGTGATGTAGAAACAGTGAAAGTGTTGAGGGACGTTCTCACTGTCCATTGTGTCCATACGGTTTGTCAGTCAGTCCAGGAACCGCTGATCCAAAGGACTGCTAATAAAAGTGTGAGTATTTCAGCATCTTTCTAGCGTGTGATGGGACAGAGAACAAACAGCCCATATCGGTGCTGGAGGACAGAGACAGATGCTTCTACAGCTCTTCAACATCAAACTGAATGAGTCTCAAACAAATCTCAATATCTGATCCACAAAATAATGACAATAAAGTTGGTTTACAGAAATAAAGAAAAAACAAATGTATAAAAGTAAATAAATAACTGTACACACAACCCTGAATAAATAGACAGAAACTGTGGTTAAAGCTGTAAAGACTGAATGATATCCAGGACTTGTGTTGTAAAGGAGGTTCAGACGGGCGGCTGGATCTTCTCTGTAATGTGAAAGTATTTCATAATCTGTCAAATCTGTCCCTCAAAGAAAGTGTGACTAAGATTCTACCTATTGGTCAGATTCTTTACACATGATATATATATTTTTATATTATTATAATATATAAATATATAACTTACAAAAAAAGATGGCCTCTAATTTAATGAAATAAAGGCAATTTCCTGACTATATGACTTTGAATTATGTGCATGTTTCTACATTACGGTTTATATGTGCACTGTGTTTTCTGTGAAAGACAAAAAGTAAAATGATGTTTAATAACATCAAAGAT